CGAACAAATCATGTTATCGCAAACATGTGAAACCGTTGTCTACGGGAAGACACCATTGGGCTGGAGTAGGTGAATTATACTATCGCTGTTCAAGAAGGGAGATCATAGGGAGTGCTGCAATTATCGCGACATTACCATCTATTCATTTTACTGAAAATGTCTGTGCAAGACTTTGGACAGGATATGCTGCGGAATGGATTATCTTCGATCCAAGAAGAGTACTGTGATTTCACGTCAGACGAATCACTTCTGACCAGATCTTCGCCCAAGATCTAAAAGAACAAGCTTTATCCCAGCATACAGCGACAGCGCTGAACCGCATTCGCTTACTCCATAAGAATGTAACACTTTATTTCATAAATGGAGCTTGTAAGAATGGTTAGATGTGTCATTTCTACACGTCTTCAGTGATCGCTCCAAAGATCCTTAAGAAGAGGCATCTTTCTTGTTCGTCCAGTCTACCATGACGGTTAGATTATGGTCAAATGTCTATGATATGTTATATTTCTGACTCTGTTAATTTTTTATCTGATCAGGAGATTTTGTTGAGTTGCGGAAAATAAACAAGTATAGCAGTGTTGCCAGAAGGCAATTGATTTGGGCAGTTAGTTATTGACCTGTAATCGATTACCTGCAATCTTTTTTTCTTAAACGTGAGGTTACAGCCATGTACAGCTCCAGTTGTAGTATTATGCCTCTGTTGGAGGCCCATCATTTAATATTGTATTTATGGGATGTAACATCGATGATTTATTTTGTCTTGTTGACGTGATTATGTGAATGCAGACAACTTCTACTTCGCCTATGGAGAATGTAATTCATTCGTCATACATTCATAGATTGAGCGCGATTGCATGCGACGCGGAACTGGAAGATCACAGCGTGTCTGAGCTGCGTCAGTTGTGCGAGCACATTATGAATGCGTGTAAAGAGGCATGTGAACAGCAGAAAAACGACCGCAAAGAGCCACGAGAACTCACAACCGAAACCGCTGAAGAAAGTACTTTTTTAAATTTTATTCGCTCATAGTTTTAAAGCCCAACGTTTCTGGATGTTCCTTCGTAATGGAAAATTTGCCAAGATTGTTTTTTAGTTTTTAATTTCTTAGAATTAAGAATACTTAACATGTAGTAATTTGTATAATCAATTTTTATTTATTAATCCTTCATTAGTTATAGACTTCTCATCCTATTACATCGAAGACGATTACGAGTGCTGTGCGTGTGTTCAATTCCACCTGGATTGAATAAATGCGTTCTTACTCTTCAGACCTTTCGATGTCATGTCAGATTTAACGAGATCTTGCCATCTAGTTGGAGGTCTTCCTGTTTTCCGCCTGACATCAGCTTTTCCATTATTTTTCGCTTCGAAAGATGGCTATCATCCATGCGTTTACGATGACCTCGTCATCTTTAATCCATTTTTTCAGCGATTGGCCCAGTTTGGTTCCCTGTTTAGTTCTGCTGCTTACGACAGCATTTTACACAAGTTCATGTGACTTTACTTCTAATGCTAATCTCCATGCTTCATTTCTGTCGCTTTCAATCTTCTTTGCTAATTTTTTCAAGTGCTGCTGTCTCTAGATCATAAATTAAGATATTCAGAATGTGGGTGCTCTAAATGCGCAGCTTAATGACATGGTTGACGTTTCTCTCAGTGTAACGCTTGCTTAACTTGATGTTGGCTGTAGTGCCGGCGCACATCCCATCTTAGCCTCGTTTTTCTGTTGTCCAACTATAGCCGAGTCCTTCTCGGAGTTTGGATATTGCAGTACATTTTAATAATTCATTTTTGTTAAGTGTAAGGCGAATGTTTATCTGGTTTCTGCCTGTTTCTTTTCACCTTGTCTTCTCTGAATTGACGGAAACACCCGGGGTACGATTCTTCTGCTTCAGAGTTATAACAGCTGTGCAACAAATTCGAAACTGTCTGCTAGCAACAGGAATCTTTAACGTATGCAAGAGGATTTACCACACTTTTATCCATCTTGCCGCAGTCGTTTCGTATTTGTTTCAACGCCCAATCAAGAAATATCCAAATGATCACGTGGTTGGTTCATCGATCGAGATTGCAAAGAATTTGAATTCCCATCACGTCTTTTTGAAAAGTTGTCTTTTGACAAATATTTCATATCCAGGCACCCTTTTCCTGATGCCCGACCGTACTTCACCCAAGATATTGTTTGTTTTCTGATCTGTTCGCGATAATGCGCATGAACACTTTACCATAGTAGTTCTTAGATATCAGATTCCCAACAACTGTAACTTTCTAGAAAGTTTTTAATTGGTCATTAAAATGTGCTTATTAATAACTACGCTTTTTAATACGTTAAGCTGCCTTTTAATACGTTAAGCTGTGTAATAAATATTAACCATGGTATTATGATCTTACAAAGTTCTTTACAAATGACAGTTACGATACCGCTGACCCGAACAATTTCTTTTCGCTGCTACAAATTCACACGGTGTAGTCGCTCCCTCCCTTAGCTTCTCTCGACCTAGGTGCCTGTTTAAGCTCGTCATGGCTCCATGGTGTTTTAGCAGATGCAGTACATAGAGCCCAAACTGCACCACTGGAAGCTAGTATGAATCCGGATAAGTGACAGGAGGATGCTAAGCAACAAACGAGTGGAAATATGTACGCTGTGTATCAGACGGTATTAATACTCTTACTCGCTCTGTTTCGCTAAAGGGTGTTATTTATCCATCGCAAATTCATGCCGTTGTATCTCGAGGTTTAGTGGCTCTTCGAAGTAATTCTGCAGGGTGCTGTTCAAGGAAAAAGGCCAAAGTGTCAGCGACTCTTAAATACAGATTTGATAATTATGAAATAAAAAAGTTTAGCTAAAAATGTACCATTCAATCATACTTTCATTCCTCGGGACATTTCCTAGTTTCCTTTAGCCGGTTATGGTCACAAAACAAGAACCGTGAGCAAGTACACGGACCGGTGTACGGAAAACAGGAGTAGCTTTAGGTGTCGAGTGAGCAGTATTGCGCGAAATTGCATTTTAGGTGCTAGCTATACTTTTAGAGACTGATTCACTCATTTACTTTAAACGTCCCGCTGTTCCTTTCGAGTACCTACTTTAGGAGACTTTTCCTGGTCCTCCGTTTAACGGACATGCTCATTGGACTGGATTCCAAAGTGCGACAATGCCAGGTCTCAGTATGATTAAAGTGTCTTGTCCGTGTTTTTTCGTTAGGCTGTCTTTCATGAAACTTTGCTAAGATGGTCCCTCTTGCGAGTTTCTTTTGTGATAGCCTAATCACATTCATGTGATTGTGGTTGTTTTCTCTGAACATGGAGGAGTGACTTTCGCAGATAAAGTCACTTTCCTAAATTATCTTGTTCTGAGCCTTGCTGACGCCATTTTTTCATTTTCTCATGTTTTTCCTTTCATCGTATGAAGAGTTACTTCCCAAGGTCATTTTGAGACCACCTGCTGCAGCTCGATGCCTTCGACAGGTTTTTCAGAAAACGTATTCATTTTAAAAGAATCAATCCTCTTTGATAAAACATTGTTGTGAATTGCGGGAATCACCAATGATTATCTGACGGATTCATGTAGAAACACCTTAACGAGTTCTTTTTCTATGTCTTCCGCGAATGCAGCATTATTCAACGATAGCAGTTTTTATCGGTCATTCTTTTATCTGTGGTTCTTTCCCCCTTAGGATGCAGTTTTGCACTTTTCCTGTGGTAAAATGCCATTTATCTTCGTACCGAGACTTAATGATTCCTTTATATGTGACACTGGTTCTTCCGATTAGCAGTGTAGCTGATCAGAATAGAGCAGATGTTTTACCTGAACGCTCAAATCCGCACAATTGTTTGCCAAACAAGGTTTTATTTCCATAGGTAATGACAAATATGAAGTCCAGTTACAGGTTTCTTGTATCGATTGACACCTGTATTCAGGGAAGCGCGTTGCATCAGTAAAACCTAACAGGCACAGTTAGTTTCAATTGAAAATTATCGAGTAGAAATTTTGCGGTGCTGTTACAAAAGACCTGCCGCGTTTTTGGTTGATAAAGTTATAATTTGACTAGTTTGATTAAACGGAAACTAAAGTATCCTAGGGTGAAAAAGGGATTGACGTCAAAGGATTATTCTCGTATGCTAAGGAAATGTTTGTCCTTGCAAAAATACTTTATTCCTCAGGGAACTAATCTGTTACTGTTCTTCCTTATTTCTGGAATTGTGTTGCCACTGATCACCACCAAAATGAGACACGGTCTTTACGTTTCTTCAGGCAAGAGAAGATGTCGCGGACCGATGTTTCGCATTGGCTCAGTCGAGGTCCCTGTGAAACCATTGATCCGCATTCAGTCTGAGTTAGAACCGTTGTACAAGGCAATGCCCGAGTCTGCCGAAGAGAGAAAACAGTGAGTCATATTCGCTTTGTTTCCCGTATCAGCCATGAACGTATGTTGGCTGTTTAAGTTTCGTGCTGCCAACGAAGG